GGCCTTGGGGTGGGGCTCGCAGTTGCGGTGAGCCTCCTGGTCTTCCCGCAGGTGCCGTAGGTGGCGATCTGCTCCAACGGCGACTTGATTCCATGAGCCACGGGTTCTCCGGGTTCTGCAGCTCGTTGTCCGCGCTGGCTCCCCTCCCCCCCGCTCCCCCGTGGCCGGGTCTCGATACAGCCGATCAGGGCCCGATCTTCGCCAGCTGGGCATCGAGGCAGGCCTCGGTTTCCGCCCACGTGCCTTCCAGGAGGGATTTCATGATGAGCTGCGACCTCAGCTCGGTCTCCAGGCCGTGGAGGGTGCGCCGCAGCTCGGTGACCTCGGATTTGCTCATATGCAGCTGCTCCGTGTGGCCGGCGACTCCCGGTTGGGGCTCCTCGGTCCGCCTGGTGAATCAGGTTTCCACACGGTTTTGCCCAGCCATGACCTCACGTTGGCTTCGCATGTGGCTCAGGATCTTGGCGAGGTCAATGCCTGGAGCAGAATACACCTCCTCACCGACCTGGTCACCCGCCTGGCCCTCAGGGCACTGATTTCCTCCTCCTGCTTCTTTTTCGGGTAGGCCAGCTCCTCCTTCAGGCCTCCCATCTGCATCTCCAGGTCTGTCCTGGCCCGGGTCAGCTCGTCCTGCACCGTGCACCCGGCGCAGGCCCTTGATGTCGGCCTCCACGCTCCTCTGACTCAGACTTGGTGCGGAAGTCACCTGCAGCCAGACAGGTCTTGTCGATCTGCAGGAGAGTCTTGGAGTTCTCCATCGTGGCCCTAAGAATCTTGTCCCGCAGGTCCTCGATGGTCTTGAGGAGGGCCCGGGTCCCTACTTCTGGTACCCATCGCGGACCTTCACTTCCAGGTCGCTGTTGGCTTCCAGGAGGGTGCGCACCTTGTCCAGGTAGGAGGCCAGGCGGTCGTTGAGGTTCTGCATGGTCAGCTCGTGGCCTGCCAGCAGCACGTCGGACCCGGTCCGGACACTGGCATAGCCCCAGCATAGGACGCCGCCGCGGAATCCCCTGGAGGAGGACGAGGACACGACCGCGGCCGCCCGAGCCGGGTGGATGCTGGGCGCGCAGAAGGTGCCTCCCACGCCCCAAAGCGCATGGAGCGGCCACCCAGGCCCGGACGGACTAGGCGGCCCACGGCTGGCAATAGCTGTAGGAGGTCACGGCGAGACGGAGGACAGAGCGACACAGATGGAGAGCTGCGGTCGCAGGAGGGAGTCAATACTTTTCTGATGTGTGTGTGTGTGTGTGTGTGTGTGTGTGTGTGTGTGTGTGTGTGTGTGTGTGTGTTTTAAAGCTGTATAAGCCATATTACAATATTTTAAAAAGGTGATATTTATAATGCTAGAAAGAGTTTTGAAAGTAGCCGCCGCTGGGATATAGACCTGGGGTATGAAACAAAAATCAGCTTTTTTCTTTTTTTTTAAAGAAAGTTTTGTAGTATTTTTTTTTTAAGTTGAAATCTCACTGTCGCCCAGGCAGGAGTGCAGTAGCACCATCACGGTGGCCACTGCAACCTCGACTTGCTGGGCTCAGGCAATCCTTCCTCCTCAGCTTTCCAAGTGGATGAGACTACAGACTTGCACCACCACACTCGGATAATTTTTTGATTTTGTTTTTTCTTCCAGAAATGAGGTCTCACCTTATTGCCAGGTTGGTCTCCAACTCTTGAGCTCAGGCAGGCATCTTGTCTCAGCCTCCCATCCCAAAGTGCTGGGATGACAGGCATGAGACACTGGGCCTGGCCTCAATAATAGCTTTTATTTTTAATTTTTAATTTTAATTTTAATTTTTTTTTGAGTTGGAGTCTCACTCTGTCCCCCAGACTGGAGTGCAGTGGCCGCTCCCGGTCACCACAGCCTCGACCTGCTGGGTTCCGGCGATCCTTCCACCTCAGCCTTCCAAGTAGCCGGAATTACAGGCGCGCGCTCCCACGCTCAGCTGATTTTTTGATTTATTGTAGAGATGAGGTCTCGCTGCCCAGGCGGGTCTCGAACCCGCGGGCTCAGGCAATCCACTCACCTCAGCCTCCCAAAGGCGCGGGATTACAGGCTGAGCCACCGAGCCCGGCTAATAACAGCTTTTAAAAGTGGAAGTTACAGAAGTTTGAGATCAGCCTGGGCAACATAGCGAGACCTCGTTTCTACCAAAACAAATTAGCCAGGTGACTGAAAAAACAAAAACAAAACAAACAAACAAAAAAACCTTTTCTTTGGGCAGTCAGATGTCTAGTAACAATTTTTTGATTTATGGTAGAGATGAGATCTCATGTAATCCTCTAGCCTTTGTCTCCCAAAGTGCTGGGGTTACAGGCTTGAGGCACCGCACCCGGCCGCCCACCTGTCTTTAAATTCCACGATGTGGTCCAGGCTCGGTGGCTCAGCCTGTAATCCCAGCACTTTGGGAGATCTAGGCGAGAGGATTGCCTGAATCTGCGGGTTCGAGACCCGCCCGGATAACTTGGCGAGACCTCGTCCCTACAATAAATAAAAAAACTAACCGGGCGTGGTAGCGCGCGCCTGTAGCTCCGGCTACTGGGAAGGCTGAGGCGGAAGGATCGCCGGAGCCCAGCAGGTCGAGGCTGCGGTGGCCGGGAGCGGCCACTGCACTCCAGTCTGGGCGACAGAGTGAGACTCCAACTCAAAAATAAAAAAAAAAAAATAAATAAATAAATAAAAAAAGAAACTCCACGATGTGTTGGTCCCATAGACTGAACATTCGCCAAGGGAAGCATTTTGGCCCTCTCGGCTCACCGTCCGCCCAGCCTCCTAAAGCAGCCGTAGGCCCCGCCCCCTGCGCTCCGGTCGGCGCGAAAACCCAATTGACAAGAACTCCCTCCCAACCCTGTGGTCTGACCTGCGTTCGGCTCGCTTTTCCCGCCCGAGCCCGGGTCTCGAGCGCTCAGCCGGGAGCGCCCGCCTCGGAGGCACCCTGCATACACCGGCCGCGCCTCAGGGCCCTCGCAGCCCGCGCTTTCTCACCGCCTCTTTCCGCGTTCGGCTTTGCTGAGCTGGGCCCAGCCCGCGCGCCGGCTCCGTGCTGGCGGGCGCGGGGGAGTCCGAGACGGACTCGTCTGCTCAGCACCCCGCTCCTCCATGGCCCCCCGGCAGGCGGGCCCGGACCGCGTAAGGTCCTAGGAGCCGGGATTCGGGGTAGCAGGGAGCATGGTGGGGGTCCTGGCCATGGCGGCTGCAGCTGCTCCCCCTCCCGTGGAGGACTACGAGATTGAGGTGAGGTCGTGTGTCTGTCGAGATCCTTCCCCTGCCTGTCGGGGGGCTCGGGGGAAGCGGGGAGTGGAAGGCGATCCCGACTCTGCCTCTGTGAGGGGAAAGGTGGGGCATCGAGAGGACCCGCCGTTGTGACATTGTTTGGAACCGTTGCTGGAGTGTGTCGCTTCTTAGTGTCGTGATAAGTCCTTAGACACAAGGGTGTTGGGAAATATTGGCGGGGTCACGTTAGGTCAGAATCTGGGATACCACGACCAGTTCCCGGATCCTGAAATGGTGGTGGAACATGACTCCGACGTGCCACGGAGGATCCCGGGATTCGTGGTATGGAATCATAGAACTTCAGCGTTGAAAAAGGTCTTTAAGTTCAACTAGTTCGTACGCCTATCTGTTCTTAGGAGTTTTAGAATGTCATTACAGGGATCAAACAGGGTACTTAAAAAAAAAAAATCAGTTTCTCATGGCTCCAGAACTTAATATACTGCAGTCAGGAGTCCCAGCCTGACATGTTGACTGATGTGTGTTTGTCAAGTTTCAGTGAAATGCACTAAGCAGTCATTATAATGAGATTCTAATGCCATGAAGTCGTGGGCTAGCATTTTAAGGTAGACCGTTATGTTTTTACACCTTTACATCTTGAAGTGAGCTCAGATATATGTTCATTCAACTGCAACTCAGTTTTTTCTTTTTTTTTTTTTAAGAATTGAGTGACTTTTTGTCTACTTGATAATAGTGTTGTTTGTTTGTTTTTGAGAAAGCAGGATTTATTAGGACAGAGAAGCTCCCAGAGTGGGAGGGGACCGGAGGGAGTTACCCTTACTTGTTAGTAATTGTTATGCTGATACCTGCTTCTAAAGCAAAGCAGTTACTCAGCTTGTCTTAGATGTGAAGGAGACTTCTGGTACTTGATTTACACGGTTCTTGATTTTTATATGGTCAGTTTTTTGTCTTTCTGTTGTAGTTTCTGCTTTTGGTGCCCTGATTAGAGAACCTGTTTTATAATAATGATACTTACTGTTTAGGATGTAAGGGTAAGGGCCTTATGCATATTATTTTGCTTAAAATCAACCCTGTGATGAGGTATTATGATCTGTATTCTACAGATGAAAGAAGGCTAAAAAGTAATTAAAAGTAGCCTGGGCAATATAGCAACACCCTGCCTCTACAAAGAAATACAAAAACTATCCAGGTGTGTGGTGGTGTGTGCCTATAGACCCAGCTATTCAGGAGGCTGAGGTGGAAGGATCACCTGAACCCAGGAGGTCCAGGCTGCAGTGAGCCACGATTGTGGCACTGCACTCCTGCCTGGGCTACAGAGCAAGATCTTGCCTCATAAGTAAATAAATAAATAAATAAGTAAATTAATGAAAAGTAAGTTAAATTACTTTTTTTTTGGAGTCAGAGTCTCACTCTGTTGCCTAGGCTGGAATGCAGTGGCATGCTCACAGCCACCACAGCTTTGACTTGAACTGTTTGAGCAGCAAATTAAAATGCTAAGGCTGGGCGTGGTGACTCACGTCTGTAATCCCAGCACTTTGGGAGGCCCAGATGGGAGGATTGCTTGAAGCCAGGAGTTGGAGACCAGCCTGGACAACACAGTGAGACCCCTGTCTCTACAAAAAAATTTTTTAAAAATGAGCTGGACATGTTGGTACACACCTGTAGTCTCAGCTATTTGGGAATCTAAGGTGGGAGGATTGCCTGAGCCCAGGAGATCGAGGTGCAGTGAGTCTTGAACTTACCACTGCACTCCAGCCTGGGTGACAGAGTAAGATTTCAGCTCAGAAACAACAACAACAAGACTTGTGATTTTTTAAATACTCTTTACCGTAATTTTGATTTGATTTGTAAATTTGGGGATCCTGAGTTTACTCACTAAGTATCTGTTTCTTTCTTTCTTTTTTTTTGTGGTGGAGTCTTACTCTGTCACCCAGGCTGGAGTGCAGTGGCACGCTCATGGTCACTGCAGCCTCTACCTACTGGGCTCAGGTGATCCTTTTGCCTCAGCCTTCCAAGTAGCTGGAACTATAGGCATGCGCCACCATGCCTGGCTAATTTTTTGATTTATTGTGGAAAATGAGGTCTCACCAAGTTGCCCAGGCTGATCTTGAACACGTGGGCTCAGGCAATCCTCTCACCTCGGCCTCCCAAAGTGCCTGGATTATAGGCGTGAGCCACCGTGCCCAGCAATTTCTCTTTTTTACTTTATTTTATTTTGAATCACTGTCACCCAGGCTGGAGTGGCATGATCACGATGATCAAGAAGCATGGCAGCCTTGACCTCCTGGGCTCAGGTGGTCCTTCCACTTCAGCATCCCAAGTAGCTGGGATGTACGCCACCATGCCCGGCTACTTTTTTGAATTTTTGTAGAGATGACGTTTCATTATGTTGCCCAGGCTGGTCTCAAACTCCTGGGCTCAAGCAGTCTGCCTGCCTCAGCCTCCCAAAGCGCTGGATTACAGATGTGGTCACCATGCCTGGTCTATTTTTTATTTTTTTGAGTTGAGGTCTCTTTTGCCCAGGCTGGAGTGCAGTGGTGCAATCACGGCTGACCATAGCCTCGACCTCCTTCTGCCTCAGCCTCCTGAGTAACTGGGACTATAGGCATGTACCATCATGTCCTGGTAATTTAAAAAAAATTTTTTTCAGAGAGTAGGTCTCCCTATGTTGTGCAGAGGCAGGTCTCAAACAACTGAGCTCAAGCAATCCTCATGCCTCAGTCTCAAAGTGCTGAGATTACAGATGTGAGCCACTGTGCCTGGCCATTTCTGTCTTTTCTTTTTTTTTTGAGTTGGAGTCTCTGTTGTCCAGGCTGGAGTGCAGTGGTACACTCACAACCACACCAGCATCGACCTGCTGGGCTCTGGTGTTCTTTCCACCTCAGCCTTCCAAGTAGCTAGAACTACAGATGTGCACTACCATGCCCAGCTATTTTTTAAAAAATTTATTGTAGAGACGCAGTCCCACCAAGTTGCCCGGGCTGGTCTTGAACCCACGGGCTCAGGCAATCCACTCACCTCGGCTTCCCAGAGTACTGGAATTATAAGTTGAACCACCGAACCTGGCCCATTTCTGTCTTTTTAAAAAAATTGCAACAGGGTCTCACACTATGTGGCCCAGGCTGGTCTCGAAATCCTGGGCCCAAGTGATCCTATTGCCTTGGTCTCAAAAAGTGCTGAAATTACAGGTGTAAGCTGCTGCGTCTGAACTTTTTTCCCCTAATATATCATGTTTTTCACCTAAAGGAGCTTTGTGTGTGTGTGTGTGTGTGTGTGTGTGTGTGTGTGTGTGTGTGTGTGTGTGTGTGTGTTGGAGTCTCACTCTGTTGTCCAGGTGGGAATGCAGTGGCATGCTCATGGCCACTGCAGCCTCAGTCTGCTAGGCTCAGGCGATCCTTCTACCTCAGCCTTCCAAATAGCTGGAACTACAGGCGCATGCTATCATGTCCGGCTAAATTTTTTTTTTTTGAGTTGGAGTCTCCCTGTGTTGCCCAGGTTGGCACCATAGCTTCAACCTGCTGGACTCAGGCAGTCTTTCCGCCTCAGCCTTCCAAGAAGCTGGGACTACAGATGTGAGCCACCACACCCAGCTAATTTTCTGATTTGTTGTAGAGATGAGGTCTCGCCAAGTTACCTAGGCTGGTCTCAATCCTCTCACCTCGGCCTCCCAAAGTGAGCTGGGTGGCGTTGAGCCACTGTTACCGGCCAGGAGCCTTCTTTTTAAGAAATGTCTTAAAATATTAGATTAATATTTAAAATCTATGTATTGTATTATTTTGCTTGAAAATAAGTGACTTTTTTTCTTTTAAATTGCTAGCCATGCAGAAAGCGGAGGAAGGATGATGACAGATCTTCCTGCAAAACAATTGAAAAATATTTATCACCAATCAGGACAACTGGAGATAGGGTTTTTCCTCCACCAAAACCTAGTAATATTCTGGATTATTTTAGAAAGACTTCACCCACAGATGAGAAGATGCAATTAGTGAAAGAGTGCAAGATAAAGTCATCTACCTCATTGCCTGTTGACAGTAGCAAAAACTCTAAGACACCTTTGGAAATATTCTCAAATACAGAGTTTAAGAAGAAAGGAAGGAGGATTAATTTATCTCATCAACTAAATAATATTAAAACTGAAAATCAATCTCCAATAGAAATTAATAGTGATGATAGTAAAGAAGACTCTAGTTTAAATAATGATTTTGTAGAAAGTAGTACTTCTGTTTTACTTTGCAAGAAACAAGTAGAGGTATTTACAGAAAACATTCAAGATATAAAAAATCAGTCAAGTATTATGACTTCCAGAAAAAATTCAAAAAAAAAAAATCCTAAACAAGGGATCACAAAAAGTGATTTCAAAAAGTTGAGGAAAAGGAAGCGCAGAGATGTAGTAGATCTATCTGAAAGTTTACCCTTGGCAGAGGAACAAAATCTACTTAAAAGGGATAGTAAAGATAATAAACAGATAATATCTTACCTGACTAATGAAATCGAGAATACTGCAAGTGATGCAAACTCTAGAGATAATGTAACTGAAACAACCCAGTTAAATGATAGTACAATAACTGTCTCATATGAGGAATTTTTAAAAAGTCACCAGGAAAATAAAGTAGAGCAGATACCAGACTCTACATTGTCAATTTGTGTTCCTTCTGAAATTGTTGAAGAAATTGTCAAAAGTGGTTATGTAAGTGATACAGAAAACTGTGAAATTTCCCAGCAGGTACGCTTTAAAACAGTTACTGTTCTTGCACAAGTTCATCCTATTCCACCCAAAAAAACAGGGAAAATACCCCAAATTTTCTTGAAACAAAATCAATCTGAAATGGAAAATAGTGCATCTGACCCTGAGAATGAACAGGCAATTCAGAAAAGAAAATCTAATGTTGTTATACAGGAGGAAGAATTGGAATTGGCAGTGTTGGAAGCTGGAAGTTCTGAAGCTGTGAAACCAAAATGCACTCTAGAAGAAAGACAGCAGTTTATGAAAGCATTTAGGCAGCCATCATCAGATGCAGTTAAAAATGGAGTTAAAAAGTCTTTTGATAAGCAGAAAGACCTCAATGAAAAATCTCTAAATGAGGAAGGAAGAGATAATAATTCTAAAAAAATCATGGAAAATTCTGGTATCCAAATGGTTTCAAATAATGGTAATTCACAGTCTTATGCTGATAAAGAAAGTTTTCCTAAGGAGAAAAGGAAGGAGCTAAAGAAAAGAGGTAAAAGAATATTAGATACTGGGGCTATTCCAGGTGAAAACAGAGAGCAAAACACTCAAAAGAAAGAAATAACCTTTTCCTTAAAAGATAAACAAAATCAAAATAGGCTTAGAATGAGTTTAAGACAAAAGAAAATGGAAGTTTTCAAAAGCAGCACTTTATTTAACAGTGAAAATGTTGTTTGTGAAGATACAGCAAATGATGACACTCTAAAGATTTCATCCCTGTGTAGCAATAATAAATCATCAAGAAAAACCAGCACACCAGTTAAAGATGATAAGGTTATGCAATCTAAAACTGAATCTGAAGAGAGCTTAATAAATGTTTCCACAACCAAATCAACCAGAAGATCTGCAAGAAGTAGCACCATGCCTAGTACAGTAACCATTAGAGGGATTCATTCTGAAGATGCACAAGATAATAATCCCGTAAAAACTTCCACTCCAAAAGCAGCCAACGTATCAGAAAAGCACAGCTTATATACAGCAGAATTAATAACAGTACCCTCTGATTCAGAGAGCCCCATTAGGTAAAGTTTTGTTTTTGTTGTTTAGTTTTAGTAGTCTGTGTGTATCATTAGCTGGGAAGGAAAATACTTCGATTATTGACGGGTATTATTTTTTCTAGAACACAACTATTTATAAGAAAAAGAACAGGAATGACTGCTGTAATGTGTGCATAATTTGCACTTGTGTCTGGTAGCAGTGTCTGTGTTTGCACTCAGATCTTTTTTTTTTTTTTTTTTGAGTTGGAGTCTCACTCTGTCGCCCAGACTGGAGTGCAGCGGCCGCTCCCGGCCACCGCAGCCTCGACTTGCTGTGCTCCGGCGATCCTTCCACCTCAGCCTTCCAAGTAGCCGGAATTACAGGCTTGCACTACCATGCCCGGCTGATTTTTGATTTATTGTAGAGATGAGGTCTCGCTGCACTCAGATCTTAATATCCACGTAAATGTCATTCAGCAAAAAGTAACTTGGGATCCTAATACTGGTCTAGTGTGGTCTCTGGACATATCCATCACTGGCCAGCCTCTAGATTCCCACACACAGGCCAGGCACAGTGGCTCATGCCTGTAATCCCAGCACTTGGGGAGGCCAAGGTGGGAACATTGTCCCTAGGAGTTTGAAACCAGCCTAGGCAATATATTGAGACCTTGTCTCTACAAAAAAAAAATCAAAGTATTACCTGAATGTGATGTCCCATGCCTATAGTCCCAGCTACTCAGGAGGATGAGGTGGAAGGATCACCTGAGCCAAGCAGGTCGAGGCTGCAGTGACCGTGAGCATGCCACTGCACTCTAGCCTGGGTGACAGAGTGACACCCTAACTCAAAACAAAAAATCATAGAATGTTATTTCTTGGGTAATCTCACCCATATACTGTGAAGTATATACTATACTTACACACAGGTATAGGCTAATATTAGAATGATTCTAGGGGCTAATTTTCCGTAAAGCTTATTCTTTCTAAAGGAAATAATAAATAATAAAGTTTGATGTACTTTCAAACTTTTGAAATTGTTTTGAAATTGATGGGAATTACATTTTTCTTCCTGTTTTAGAACAGTTGAAAAATTAGCCCTAGTTTTTGTTTTTGTTTTTTTGAGTAGGTATCTCATTTTGTCACCCAGGCTGGAGTACAGTGACACATTCATGACCACCACAGCCTCCACCTGCTGGGTTCAGGTGATCCTTCTGTCTCAGCCTTCCAAGTAGCTGGAACCACAGGCGTGTGCCACCACACCTGGCTAATTTTTTTATTTTTTGTAGAGATGAGGTCTTGCCAAGTTGTCCAGGCTGGTCTTGAACCCCTGGTCTTGGGCAGTCCTCTCACCTCTGCCTCCCAAAGTGCTGGGATTACAGGCATAAGCCACCACGCCCGGCCCTAGTTGATTTTTTTCATCTATTCTTTTGGAAATAGGGTCTTGCTATGTTGCCCAGGCTGGTCTCAAATTCTTGGGCTCAAGCAGTCTTCCTGACAGCCTCCTGAGTAGTTGCCTGCCTCTATTTTATCTATAGTTAACTGAGATTCTTAGACAGTATAATAATGAAAATGTTTCTGAATACTTTATCTTTTTTTCAGAATGAAATTTACCAGAATTAGTACTCCCAAAAAATCTAAGAGAAAACCTAAGAAAAGATCTAAGAAAAGAGCTAAGAAATCTGAAGCAATTGATGGAGATTTTACTTTTGAGACTAGAAAGGTAATTAAGATATTAGAGAATCCTATAAGTGACATTGTATTTCCTTAAAAACAAAACAAGAGAACTCACACTAATATTGGAGGTAATCAGCCAAAAGAAAATTCATGTAATTCATAAGTTGGTTAATTACAACTCTATATTATTTTTCACTATTATCTTATTCCTCCAGTTTATTAATGTATTTTATTGTGAGATGAAAGCATTGGTAAGGGTGAATATAATTTGCTTATAAAAAGCTTTCTTAGTGAGTTTACATTCCAATCATCTTCCCTAAAGCTGCTTATCTTAGCTTGAGCTGCTATGGTAAAAAATTACCATAGACTAGGTGGCTTAAACAACAGAAATTTATTTCTTACAGTTCTGGGTGTTGGGAAGTACAAGATCAAGGCACCAGCTGATCCCTGTCTGGTGAGGTTTGCAGATGGCTATCTTGTTTTCTTATCTGGTAGAGAGCTGGCAGAGAATGGGAGCCACCCTTTTGACCTAATTACCTCCCAAAGGCCCTCCCTCCTAATACCATCATATAGGGAGTTAGAATTCCAACATGAATTTTGGGAGGACACTTTCAGTCTGTAAAACTGCCTATAGGTTTTATAGACTAAAGCTTTTGGTTTATTTCTATAGATTAGAGTCTCAAAAGCAGACTTTTTCAGGCTTGCTATTGTTGACATTTTGGCTAGATGATTCTCTGTTGTGCATTGTAGGAAGTTTAGCAGCAATCCTAGCTTCTACCAAAAAGATTAGTACCCCAACTTCTATATTATGACAACCAAAAGTGTCTCCAGATATTGCTGACTATCTCCTGTAGGAGACAAAAAGTCATTTCCACTTGAAAAACTACAGCTCTAAAGAGGGAGATAGGATATATAAGAATAGTTTAGTTGTTTCTGCAAAATAAGCTGCTTGTCCCCATCATGGAACAATTGGATTCTCTACAGAAGAACTGGAGTAGAGAATCCCTGGTCTTGGGCAATCCTCTCACCTCTGCCTCCCAAAGTGCAGGGATTACAGGCATAAACCACCACGCCCAGGAATGTGTGGTTTGAAAAAGCCACCAACCTTTTATCAACAAGGGTGCCTGAATGGAGCATATTTATATACCTAACCCTTAACTGTACCCCACAACAGAAAAATAAATAAATAAATAAATAAAAAAGAAAAAGCCACCAAGACGACACTGACAACCACTGCTACACTGGTATCTCTTTTGTTTTTATTTAACATCTATAATTTTTTGACTGCTTACCACATTCTAGATACTGCTCAGTCCTCATAACATTAATATCATAAAGTAAATATTATTTAATCCTGTTTTATAGGTAAAGAAACTTGCAGTTAGTTCATGGAATGAGGAAACGTGTTTTTGCGACTCTGGGAAGTGTCTCCCCAGAGGCTGCTATAAGATGCTTCCCAGAGTCACACACTCATAAGTTGTTAGGAGTATGGTCCTCAGTTTACTGGAAACCATTCTAGATTTCAGCTGATTGTACCACAGTTAAAGGTTAACAGTTTCTGAGTTGAATTTTATCCCATATATTTTATTCTTCCTAATTTAGTTCTAGAAGACCACTTCAACTTTAATTTTAGGGATATAGTGCCTTGGTTTGCCTCATGTACTGCTTAGAATTGGGATTCAGTAATAAATTTTCTAGCAAGATAAATGTCAAAATTAAATGTATCCTAGTTGGGGCCTTTGTCCAAATTTACTTAAATCAATTATTTTATTTATTTATTTTTCAGCTGGAGTATCACTCTTGCCCAGGCTGGAGTGCAGTGGCATGCTCATGTCCACCACAGTCTCGATTTGCTGGGCTCAGGTGATCCTTCTGCCTCAGCCTTCCAAGTAGCTAGAACTACAGGCACACACTACTATGCCTGGCTAATTTTTTGATTTATTGTAGAAATGAGGTTTTGCCAAGTTGCCCAGACTGATCTCGAACCCATGGATTCAGGCAATCCTCTCACCTCGGCCTCCCAAAGTGCTGGGATTATAGGTGTTAGCCACCGACCCCGGCTTAAAATTATTTATTTATTTATATTTCGCTAGTGCATTGATCTTGGACAGACTTTATTCTTATCTAGTGCTCTTTTCCATACTGCAATACCTTTTCAACCTTGCTCCGAAGGATTCAGCCTAAAGTACTTTCCTTCCTCTCTTAAACTACTATGATGTATTTTTTATGTATCTACTATGTGTCATTCTCCCTGTTTTTGTTTCTTTCTCTTTCTAAATATATATGTAGATGAGGTCTCACCAAGTTGCCCAGGCGGGTCTCAAACCCACGGGCTCAGGCAGTCCACTCACCTCAGCCTCCCAAGGTGCGGGATTACAGGCTGAGCCACCGAGCCTGGCTTAAATTATTATTATTATTATTTTTAAATTTGGAGTTAGGCCAGGCGTGGTGGCTCATGCCTATAATCCCAGCATTTTGGGATGCCAAGGTGAGAGGATTGCCTGAGCCCATGGGTTCGAGACCAACTTGGTGAGACCTCCTCTCTACAATAAATAAAAAAATTAGCCAGGTATGGTGGCACACACCTGTAGTCCAGCTTACTTGGAAGGCTGAGATGGAAGGATCATCTGAGCCTATCAGGTTGCGGCTGCTGTGACCATGAGTGTACCACTGCATTCCAGCCTTGATGACAGAGTGAGACTCCAACTCAAAAAAAGAAAAAGTTTGGAGTTGTGGGGATTTACTACATAAGTTGGTTGCATGCAGGCGAATTGTGAGCTTTTAGCTGTCCCTCTCCCTGACAGTGGCCCAGATACCCAGTGTTGCCACGTACCTTCCTCCAACCTCCCTTCCTCCCTTCTTCCCTCCCCTAGCAAACTCCAACACCTGCCAATCCCACCCTTGTGCTAGTATGACCAGTGTTCAGGGCCGGCTTATGAGTGAGAACATGTGGTATTAAGTTCTTTGTTTCTGTGATAGTTCACTTAGTATGATGGTCTCTAGCTACATCCAAGTTGCTGTGAAGGCCATGATTTTGTTCTTTATGACTGCATAATATTCCATTGTGGATTTTCTTTATCTAGTCTGCTTTTAATGAGCATCTGGGTTGGTTTTGTGTTTTTACTATTGTGAATAGTGCTGCAATAAATGTGTTCGAGTGTCATTTTGGTAGTTATTTATGTCCCTCTGAGTATATTCCCAAAAGAAGGATTGCTGGATTGTATGGAAGCTCAATTTTTAGTTCCTTGAGTAATCATCACACTGCTTTCTATAGAGGTTGCATTAGTTTATAGTCCCACCAACAGTGTAAAAGTATCCCCTTTTCTCTGCAGCCACATCAGCATCTGTTGTTTTTTGACTTATTAATGATAGTCTTCCTTACTGGTATTAAATAATGTCTCACTGTAATTTTGATTTGCGTTTCTCTGATGACTAGTGTGACTATTTTTCATGTGTCCTGGTAAGATTTGAATAAGTATTTCTTTGTTTAATGTGATTTATGATTGTATTTTTTATTATTAAATATAAAATGTTTGCTAGTAGTATAAATTAATATTTCAAGTTTTTATCTAGGTAAACAATGCTTCAAAAAATATATCAAAAGCAAAACAACTGATTGAAAAAGCAAAAGCTTTACATATCAATAGGTCAAAGGCAACAGAAGAAATAGTGACACCCTTAAGGCGCTCCTCTAGACATCAAACTCTTTCTGAGAGGAAGAACTTGTCAGAAACGGAAGTAAGTATTACAAATATCTATTGGTATAAATTCTGTCTTATTTTGCTGTTTGGAGTGGGAGAAAAAAACCATTATAAAGTTATGAGGTAGCTTGGTGTGATAGCTTGAAGTTGTAGAAAGTAATTTTCAGTTCTGCTTTAAAAGTCTTTGGCTTCTTTTGCCTACAGAATATAGTCCAAATCTTTCTCAAGTCATTCAAGATCCTTCATAGGCTGAACTAGCTCTTCCTTTTCCTCAAAAAAAAGAAAAAGTTTGGAGTTGTGGGGATTTACTACATAAGTTGGTTGCATGCAGGCAACTCTTTGCTCTAGTCACACTAAATTATCCATTTCTCCCCAAGTGGTGCAGCTTTCACTGTATTCATTTTATTGTCTCAACTTGAAATAAATATTCCTCTACCTGAGGAATTTCTATTCAGACTTTGAGCTCCTGTGCCACTACCACTACCTCCTCTTTTTAAATAAAATACCTTTATTGAGCTATAACTCACACACCATATGGTTTTTTTAAATTTTTAATTTTTTAAAATAGTCTTGTTGTGTTGCCCAGGCTGGTCTCAAACTCTTGACCTAAAGCGATCCTGTTGCCTTGACCTCCTAAGGTGTTGGGATTACAGGCATGAGCTACTGTACCTGTCCTATCCAGACAGTTTACCATTTAAAGTGTACACTTCAGTGGCTTTTAGTATATTCACAGAATTGTGCATCCATCACCACAATTTTAGGGCATTTTCATTACCCCAAAAAGAAGCCCCGTTTTTCTTAGCTTTCATTTCCCAATTCCCTCATTCCTCCAGTCCTAGCTTTCCTGTTGTCTTCTAAACTCTGTTATAATTTTTTTTTTTTTTTTGAGTCAGTCTCACTTCATTGCCTACACCTGATTGAAGTGGTACAATCATGGCTCACTGCAGCCTCCAACTCCTGGGCTCAGGCAGTCCTTTCATCTCAGCCTCCCGAGTAACTGGGACTACAGGCGTGTGCTACCATTTTCAGCTATCTTTTTTATTTTAATTTTTTTGTAGAGACAAGGTCTTGCTGTTTTGCCCAAGCTGGCCTTGAACTCCTGACCTCAAGTGATCCTCCTGCTTCAGCATCCCATAGTGTTGGGATTACAGGCATGAGCCTCTGCACCAGGTCTGATGTAACATCTGAAGCCAGTTCTCTTTTTTTTGAAAGTGAGAAAGCAGGATTTATTGAGAAGACAGAAAAGCTCCCACAGTTGGAGAGGATCTGAAGGGGTTGCCCGAGGCCAGTTCTTGAGTTTTATTTGTCTATGTATTCTCAATTCTTCCTATATTACCTCACACATGGTGGGTACATGTATAGTAACCATGGGAAAATATCAGACTTCATTCTAATACATTTCTAGGATGTATAGTTATAAAAGAGGTATAACAAGAATTTTTATAGTTTGGTAATATTGACTTTTATATGTAATATCGTTGTTTTTTTTTATTCGAAGTCTCACTCTTGTCTAAGCTGGAGTGTAATGGCACACTCACAGCTACCACAGCTTTGACCTGCTGGGCTCAGGCGATCCTTCTGCCTCAGCCTTCCAAGTAGTTGGAACTACAAGCAAGCACCTCCATGCCTGGCTAATTTTTTGATTTATTGTAGAGACTAGGTCTTGCCAAGTTGCCCAGGATGATCTCGAATTCCTGGGCTCAGGCAGTCCTCTTTCTTCTACCTCCCGAAGTGCTGACTTTCAAGTGTGAGCCCAGTTTGGGCTTTCATTTTGAAAAACACCAACTAACAGCAGGGTAATTAACTGACACATAATTTAAAAAATTCTGGCAGGGCGCAGTGGCTCATGCCTGTAATCTCACCACTTTGGGAGGCTAAGGCAAGAGGATTGCCTGAGCCCAGGGGTTCCAGACCAGGCTGGGCAACTTGACGAGACTTCATCTCTACCATATATCAAAACATTAGCTGGGTGTGGTGGCTTGCATCTGTAGTTCCAGCTACTTGGAAGGCTGAGGAGGAAGGACCACCTGAGCCCAGCAGGTTGAGGCTGCGTTAGCTGTAAGTATGCCACTACACTCCAGCCTGGGTAACAGAGTGAGACTCCAACTAAAAGAAAAAAAATTCTATTGACAGTATAATTCTGTTAACAGTGTTGAGTTTTCTGATCTAGGGAAATGGTATATCTCTCTAAAGTTTTGTGTTTAAAATTATTTTTAGTTAACATGACCATGGGCTTATTAAAAAAGCCCATGGTCATAATAAACCCACATAAACTTGTATGATGTAAGCATAGACTCTATTCTGTCATGTGTTTTCTATCAGTCAGCTATTATCTGATGGGGGTGCTATTTATTTTAGTCATTTTGTATATGGTTCCTATCACTGTAATGCTTTTGAAATTTTAATGTCATTATATGATGTATTTAATTTTTTTCTCTTATTTTGTCTCAGAACTCTGTAATAATAATAGATTCAAGTCCTGATTCTTTAAAGCATCCAGAGAAAAATCAGAAGAAACTTCAGTGTTTGAATGATGTGCTAGGAAAAAAACCTAACAAGTGCACTACAAATGTACCTGGTAATCATATTCAATAACATTTATGATGAATATATATTAGAATGTTTTGGGGTATTATTCTGATTCTGAATGTGTTCATGATTCAAATTTAGTCCTTATAAAATGTAAATTTTTACTTGTATTCTTATTTTTATTTTAATAAGTAAAGTTATAATGTGAAGTTTTTCAAAGAAAATTAAGCATATTTTCATTTATTTCATCTGTATTTCTATTTGGCCTTAAGTTAGTGTTTTGCAAACCTGAAATTATCTGGGCAAATTAAAATATTTTAAACATCTTTCAGTCCTTCCCTAGACATACTGGATAGGAATCTTTAGAAGTGGGCTGTGGGAATCTGTAGTTAAAATAATTTTTTTTTTTTTTTTTTTTTGAGTGGAAGTCTCACTCTGTCACCCAGACTGGAGTGCAGTGGCCGCTTCCGGCCACCGCAGCCTCGACCTGCTGGGCTCTGGCGATCCTTCTGCCTCAGCCTTCCAAGTAGCCGGAATTACAGGCATGCGCTACCACGCCCGGCTGATTTTTTGATTTATTGTAGAGATGAGGTCTCGCTGCCCAGGCGGGTCTCGAATCCGCGGGCTCAGGCAATCCACTCACCTCAGCCTCCCAAAGGCGCGGGATTACAGGCTGAGCCACCGAGCCCGGCTAAAATAATTTTTTCTCTGGGAGATTCTGATAGTGTCATTGTGTAGAAATTTTTTAATTAAAAAAATTTCAAGTTAAATGTTTAAATGCTTGAAAAGATGTTTTGAAAGTAACTGAAGGTAAATGGAGATGGTAAACATTAATACTAATCTAAGTATTTACTTTCCTAAGGAAAAATGAAAGTTGCTCCTTTATTTCTTGCCAAAAAGACACAAAAAGCAGCTGATCCTATCCTTGGTTTTGATGCAAGCAGGTCAGTCAAATACAGATTTTAAAATGCCAAACTGTTTTATATAGTATACTTGTATTTATTTGTTTACTTTAATGAGAAAGCATGTAAGGTATCATTTGAAGCTCTAATAAGTCCATTATAAAAGATTACAATATTGACAAAGTTACAACCGCTATTTGAAGATCTTGTTTTTTTCTTTTTTTAAGTTGAGAAAGCAGGATTTATAAGAGGACAGAAAAGCTCCTACAGTGGGAGGGGACCTGAGGGGGTTACCCAGTTTGTTTGTTTTTTTAACAAATGATCTGTGGTCACCTCTAGACAAACTAAAATAATAAATAAGCAAACCAAAAATACAAAAAAACTGATTATGAACTTTATTCAGTAAATATTTAAATACCTACCATTATGTACCAAACATTACTATTTTTTGGTTTTAGGGATATTATGGGGACAAGACACATTTCCTATTCTTTATAGTCTAGAGGGAAGACAGTCTATGATTTTTGTTTTGTTTTGTTTTTTGTTTGTTTGTTTTGAGTTGGAGTCTCACTCTGTCACCCAGACTGGAGTGCAGTGGCTGCTCCCGGCCACTGCAGCCTCGACCTGCTGGGCTCCAGTGATCCTTCCGCCTCAGCCTTCCAAGTAGCTGGAACTACAGGCGCGCGCTACCACGCCCAGCTAATTTTTGATTTTATTGTAGAGATGAGGTCTCACCAAGTTGCCCAGGCGGGTCTCAAACCCGCGGGCTCAGGCACCTCAGCCTCCCAAAGTGCTGGGATTACAGGCTGAGCCACCGAGCTCGGCTTATGATTTCTATGATTAAACATTAATGGGCCAACAAATGAAAAATTGCAATTGTACCAAGGAAAGGTACAGAATTCTACTAACAATACTGAGTCTTCCGATGCAGGGAAATGGTATATCTCTCTTAAGTTTTGTATGTAAAATTATTATTATTATTATTTTTGAGTCAGAGTCTCATTTTGTCACCCAGGTTGGAGTGCAGTGGCATGTTCACAGCTACCGTAGCCTCGACCTGCTTGGCTCAGGTGATTTTTCTGCCTCAGCCTTCCGAGTAGCTGAAACTATAAGCACACGCCACCATGCCCGGCTAATTTTTTGATTTATTGTAGAGATGAAGTCTTGCCAAGCTGCCCAGGCTGGTCTCGAACTCGTGGACTCCGGCAATTTTCTCACCTTGGCCTCCCAAAGTGCTAGGATTATGGGTGTGAGCCACTGTGCCCGGCCTAAAATAATGATAATAATATTATTATTTCGAGTTGGAGTCTCACTCCGTCGCCCAGGCTGGAGTGCAGTGGCACGCTCACAGCCATAAAATTATTATTTTTAATTGACACATAATAATTATACATACTTGTAGAGTGTAATATTTTGGTGTGTGTATATAATGTTTAATGATCAAATTAGAATAATTAGCATTTCTGTCACCGCAAACATTTATCATTTCTTTGTCTTGAGAACATTAAATTCTGCTCTTCTAGTTATTTGAAAATGTACAAAAGTTGTTTATTATGGTCACTCTGTAGTGCTATAGAACATTTGAATTTATTCCTCCTATCTAGCTGTACTTTTGTATCTGTTAACTAACCTCTGGCTCTGTGCCCCTCTTCCCTCTCCTCCCCTCCCCTCCCTTAACCTTCCCAGTCTCCAGTATCTACTATTCTACTATCTACTTCTATAAGACAACTTTTTTAACCTCCACATATGAGTGAGAACATGCAGTTTATTTTTTTGTGCTTGGCATATTTCCCTTTATGTCATGACCTCCAAGCGTGTCCATGTTGCTGTGAATGACAGAATTGTTCTTTTACTTCCTGCTTTCCAATTTGGATGCCCTTTATTTATTTATTTTGGCTAATTGCTCTGGCTAGGACTTTTAGTACTATGTTGAGTAAGAGTGGTGAGAGTGGGTATCCTTGTCTTATTCCAGTTCTTACAGAAAAAGCTTTCAGCTTTTCTCCATTTAATATGATGCTTGCTGTGGGTTTTTCATATATAGCCTTTATTGTGTTGAGGTATGCTCCTTCTGTACCTAGTTTGTTTAGAGTTTTTATCATGAAGGGATGTTAAATTTTATTATATACTTTTTCTGCATCTATTGAGATGATCATAAGGTGTTTGTCCTTCTTCTGTTGATGTGACTTATGACATTTATTGATTTGTGTATGTTGAACCCATCTTTGTATCCCTGGAATAAATCTTACTTGATCATGGTGAATGAGCTTTTTAAAGTGTTGCTGGATTTGGTTTGCTGGTATTTTGAGGATTTTTGCATCTATGTTAATTGGGAATATTGACCTATAATTTTCTTTTTTTTGTTGTTTCTTTGTCTGGTTTTGGTAGCAGAGTATGCTGACCTTATAGAATAGGTTTGAAATAATTCCCTCTTTTTCAGTTTTCTGGAAGAGTTTGAAAAGAGTATATTAGTTCTTTAAATGTTTGGTAGAACTTAGCAGTGAAGTCACAGATCCTAGAACACCTTTTAGTACTGATTTGATTTCATTACATGAGATTGGTCTGTTCAGGTTTTCTATTTCTTCTCGTGTTTGGGAATTTATCCATTTCTGCTAGGTTTTTAAAAATTTGTTGCTCTGTAGTTGTTTGTATTAGTCTTTAACGATTCTTTGTATTTCTGTGGTAACAATTATCATGTGTCCTTTTTTGTTTTGTGATTTTATTTGGGTCTTCTCTGTTAGTCTATTTAATGGTTTATTAATTTTGTTTATCTTTTCAAAAAACCAGCTTTCTGTTATGTTGATCTTTTGTATTGATGACTTCTTTTTTTTTGAGTTGGAGTCTCACTCTGTCACCCAGACTAGAGTGCAGTGGCCGCTCCCAGCCACCGCAGCCTCGACCTGCTGGGCTCCGGCGATCCTTCCGCCTCAACCTTCCAAGTAGCCGGAATTACAGGCATGCGCTACCATGCCCGGCTGATTTTTTGATTTATTGTAGAGATGAGGTCTTGCTGCCCAGGCGGGTCTCGAACCCGCGGGCTCAGGCAGTCCACTCACCTCAGCCTCCCAAAGGTGTGGGATTACAGGCTGAGCCACCGAACCTGGCTTGTATTGATGACTTCTAAATGGATCAGCCACACTGTGCTGGGTTCTAAATGGTGATTCTCCATTTGCACCCATTCTCTATTTGTTGAGTGCTATAAGAGCTTTTGCATGTTTTCACATTTATTTATTTATTCGTTTATCTCTTCACTCCTGGTTTGTTTGGTTTTTTTTGAATAGGAGTCTCATTCTGTTGCCCAGGTTGGAGTGCAGACTGGCATGCTCATAGCTACCACTGCATCGACCTGCTGGGCTCAGACGATCCTTCCACAAGTAACTGGAACTACAGGCACATGCCATCATGCCAAGCTAATTTTTTGATTTATTGTAGAGATGAGGTCTCACCAAGTTGCCCAGGATGGTCTTGAACTCCTGGGCTCAGGCAGTCCTCTCACCACTGCCTTCCAAAGTGATGAGGTTACAGGCGTGAGCCACCACATCTGACCCATTCCTGTTTTATTCAGTTGGCTATAATCTACTAACTGTATTTATTTTGATGCTTAAATTGTGTTTAATTTGGCCAGCGTGAGCCCTTCAGCTTGGTTTCTATGTCCCTTTGACATGCCCTCATAATCTATTGAGCATTTGTTACTTTCTGGAACAGGAGGCTATTCCAGTCTCATCTTTTACTTGCCCTGCCTCCGCTCTGTTCTATGCCATTTCTCCAGGGATTCCTGGTTCCTTTTATTGGAGGATGGTATTTAGAAATCAAGATCTAGGTGCTGATTGTATTCATTGCTCCTGGGTGACAATGCATCTTGGCTTTTTCAGCAAATAAAGCTAGCATATATAAGGGGGGACCCCAAAAGCTCCAGAATTCATTTATTTAAAAATTGTATATTTATTCTTACATGTTTAAACTTCAGTCACCTTGAAAGTACTCTCCATTTATGCAATACACCTATTGAGATACTTTTTCCACTGTTCACAACAGTTTTTGAACTTATCAACTTTGTTGCCTTTCAGTGCTTCTGCTGTTTTTTGTTTCACCTCTTCCAAGTTGCCAAAATGCTTCCCTTTGAGGACTTTTTTCAACCAGGGAAACAAAAAAAGTCACTCAGGGAAAAATTGGAGTGAATAGGGAGAGTGGGGTATGGAGGTCATGCTGTTTTGGGTTCAAAACTACTGAACACTCAGTGTGGTGTGGGAGGTGCACTTGTAAATCACCTATCATGAAATAGGCAAATGTGTTGAAAAAATTTCCAAAAACATTCACTCAAGCCAAACACAGTCTCTTACAACAACACTAGCTGGTACACTCATTCCATCGGGTTCCTAGAACACTTACTTAATAGGCGTAGCCTGTACTACAAGGAGCCCATTCACCAAAACAATTTTTTTTTTGGTGTCTCCCCTCATGTATATATGTATATATATATATGTACTTATATATGTATATATGTATATATATATATGTACTTATATATGTATATATCCATGCATACATCCAAAACAATTTCTGTGTGTATAATGTATATTATATGTATATTTTCTTAGTATCTGTGCATTTCTCCTTAACATTTACCTTCTGCTATAGCTGCAAACTAATTTAACTACAGCTTTACCCATCTTTTCCTTTTTCCCTCCTATTAACAGTAGAAAAGGTATACCTCCTGTTTTTTAAAATTAATTCTAATCTGACTTCGGAGCTCATTTTTCCTTCATTTTACTCAATCAGGAAAGGAAACAGAGATACAGTAAATTTTTCGTAACCTTTTAAAAAATCACAGCCCAAATTTCTATTTGCAGAGAGTATTACAATTCTTAGTCTTTCTGTTGCAAGATAGGAAAGGTCTATAAGCTGTGACATACCTCCAGCACACTTCTTTCCCCCCACTACCACACTCCTTCGCCCTCCAACACTGTAGACCCATTCTTCCCTATCCTCTTGCCTCCCTCCTACTTTTACCACTATAGTCAGCATTTCTGTGATTTGCAATCTGAAGGTAAGCCAGGTAAAATTGAGACATCAATAATAAGGTGTACTTTTCCTGCTATTATATTGGAAACAATATTACACTAGAAGTTTTCTTATTAACTTTTTGAAATATGGTACTGATTTCATCTTCTGATTATAATATAAATGAATGTTTAATGAGAAAACAAAAGATGAGAGAAAAAATTCACCTACCATCCAAAGGTAGCCCCAGTTAACATTCAAGTGGATGTGATTCAAGTCATTTTTTGTTATACTTATCTATTTTTATTTAATTTCTTAACACAGCTAGATCTTCATTTTTGTGAAAGCAAAAAATAATTTGACCAGCTAAGATTTTAGGCAGTGGATTGTTTTTTTTTAATTAAATTTAAAAGTCTTTATTTTCTTGATAGTTTATTCTTTTAAGTGTTTATAATCTTAGCTTTTGTTTACCAAATTATTTTCCTAAAAGTCAAGATACATCTGAAAAGTCTCAGGATTGTGATGTACAGTTTAAAGCAAAGCATGACTTCCTAATGAGTGGTTTGCCAGATTTATTGAAACGGCAGATTGCAAAGAAGGCTGCTGCTTTGGATGTGTACAGTGCAGCAAGCACCAGTTTCCAGAGAGTTGTGCATGTACAGCAAAAGGATGATGGTGAGTTTGTTTGTTATTATTGAATATTTGCTCTCCAACTGTTAGGAGTAATATTAAACTATGTCAGTTGGCTAAAGGTGAGGCTAAGGTTTAAGTATTGTTCTTTCGGTGAATTTAGTGTTAATTTTAAGTACAGTTGTCCCTTGATATTCATGGGGGATTGATTCCGGGACCCCCTGTGAATACCAAAATCTAGAATGATCAAGTGTCTTGTGTAAAATGGGGTAGTGTTTGCATACAAACTATGCACATCTTCCCGTGTACTTTAAATCACCTCTAGATTACTTAAATACCTAGTGCAGTGTAGATGCGATATAAATAGTTATTATACTGTATTGTTTAGGGAATAATGACTAGAAAAAAGTGGGTAAATGTTTAGTACAGACACAACCATTTTCCCCCCAAATATTTTCTATCCACGGTTGATTGAGTCCACAGATGTGGAAGGCTGACTGCACAGGTTCATCCTCTCTTCCTCAGCTTTGGACTCAATTTTGTAAGGATGGGGGTGTGGGCAAGGAAGCCAAAGGCATTCTTAGTCCTTATTTCTTTATTTTATTATATTTTTTTGAGTTGGAGTCTCACTCCAGACTGGAGTACAGTGGCACACTCCCAGCCACCGCAGTCTCGACCTGCTGGGCTCTGGCAATCCTTCCGCCTCAGCCTTCCGAGTAGCTGGCACTACAGGCATGTGTTACCACGCCCGGCTAATTTTTGATTTATTGTAGAGATGAGGTCTCACCAAGTTGTCCGGGCGGGTCTCGAACCTGCGGGCTCAGGCAGTCCACTCACCTTGGCCTCCCAAAGCATGGGATTACAGGCTGAGCCACCGAGCCTGGCCAGTCCTTACTTCTTATGACAGGGGAGAGGAGACAAAGGTGAGGGACCTGAGTGAATGTTGTTGTCTAGAGACACACTGTGTTTTTAAGTATTTTTATTTTTATTTTTTTGAGTAGGAGTCTCACTCTGCTGCTCAGGCTGGAGTACAGTGGCATGTTCACGGCCACCACAGCCTTCACCTGCTGGGCTCAGGCGATCCTTCTACTTCAGCCTTCCAAGTAGCAGGGAATACAGGTGTGCGTCACCACACCTGGCTAATTTTGTGATTTATTGTAGAGATGAGGTCTTGCCAAGTTGCCCAGGCTGGTCTTGAACCCGTGGGCTCAGGCAATCCTCTCACCTCCACCTCCCGAAGTTCTGGGATTATAGACGTGAACCACCATGCCCAGCTGCACTGTTTTTAAAGGAAGTACTAGTTAGTACATTCAAGTACTAACCAGGCCAGACCCTGCTTAGCTTCCGCAACAGTTCTGAAAGCATAATCTGTGTGTGAGGAGACCATCTTCAAGAAGTTCTCAGAGGAGTTGTAGCCTTGCCCTTGTCCTATCTACTGTTGAATGTTCAGAGGAAGTCTACTTGCCTCTTTTCCAGAACAGTTTTTGCAGTTTAGGATCATAGATGTATCTTCTAGAATACATAGGTAACAAGTAGTGAGTGAGCTGTTTGCACAGGCCTCTAGTACATTGGTATTAGTGTGATCATGATCTAATTCTACTTGGATTAAAATGCTGTAGTAGCCACAGTCTTACTTTACTTATAGTTTTCATTACTGATAATGTGCAAAGTCTCATATCTTTACTTTGTTCTCAGTCCTACCAGAGGTTATATTTTTTTCTTGTCAGTACAGAAATATATATGTTCTCAACTGGCTTCGTGCTTTGATTTAGTGCACTCTCTCTGCCGATGAAATACGCATTGTGTTCTGTTCTCCTTTTCCTTCTCAGTTTCTGTCTTTGATACATTAAGAGTTTTGCTCAGCCTCTCTTTTATATAGGATTTTCCCAACTAATCTTTCTAGTTGTTTCTTCTGCTTTTCTTTTCTTTTTTTCCTGAATCAGGGTCTCACTCTGTTGCCTAGGCTGGAGTGCAGTGGCGTGATCATGGCTCATTGTAGCCTCAACCTCCTTGGCTCAGATGATCATTCTGCCTCAACTTTCTAGTAGCTGACTACAAGCATGCACCACCATGCCTGGCTAAGTTTTGGCGTGGTTTTTTTTTTTTTGTAGAGACGAGGTCTCACTGTGTTGCCGAGGCTGGTCTCGAATTCCTGGGCTCAAGCAGTTCTCTTGCCTTGGCCTCCCAAAGTGTTGGTATTATAGGCATCAACCACCACACCCAGCCTTCTGCATTTCTTTGTTTCCCATCTCTGCCACCTACCATTCAGTTGACAAAGTCTTTCTTGTGATTTTTACTAGTATAGTTTCATATAGCATTTTCTAATAGTGTGTTTGACTATAGAAATAAGTTATGCTTTTCTTCCCTCAATTTGATAAATCTATTTTCACAAAGGGCTACAAAAAACTTAGGATATCTATTTGTAGATGAGCAGAGGTAAGCTCTTCCTTGCAACATAGCAATTATTGAGTACTTACAACTGTCTAGAATTCTGATCAATTTATATACAAATCATGTTTAATTCCCATAACAACTCTCAGATGTTGAGTATAATTATCACCACCACTTTATGGATGACAAAAGTAAGGTTTAGAATCTTGCTCTTGCTTACAAGGCTAGTAAGTAACAGTCTGGATTTGAATCCAGACCTGACTTAAAAGTTTAGGCGTTAAATCAGAATGCTAACTGCCCCAAAATTTCAACCTGAGTTTCATGGTTGATTTAAAAAGAAATGAAAGTTTGGTCATGTTTGCTTGTTTTGTAACAATTGGTGAGGAAGACTAGGTAATTTTTTATTAAGTGTATTTGTTGGAGGTGAGAATTTGTTCCCTATATAGTTATTTGGGTTTTTGGTACTTTTGGGTTAAATATGTAATTGCTTTCCTGCTACTTGGAAGGCTGAGGTGGAAGGATCGCTGGAGCCCAGCAGGTTGAGGCTGCGGTGGCTAGGAGCATGCCACTGTACTCCAGCCTGGGTGACGGAGTGAGATTCTGACTCAAAAAAAAAAAAATATATATATATATATATATATGTAGTTACCAAGTCTTTCCATGTTTACACACTTGACATTCAGTAAATAGATTGCATATAAATAAAATTAATTCAGATAATTTTTCTGTTTTTTCTCTAGGATGCTGTTTGTGGCATTTGAAGCCACCCTCTTGTCCCCTCTTAACTAAACTTAAAGAATTGGATACTAAAGTAATAGATATTTCAAAATGTATTATTGCTCTTGGTGAATTTTCAACATTGAATTCATATTCAGAAAGCAATAATTCTGCTGTTGTGGTAAGTATTAGAGAATTCATCCATTGTAAAGTGTTTCCCCTACATCTTTCGAGGAAAAAATTTTGGTTATCTATTATTGTAGCCTAGAGTTCCTCTTTTCCTAAAGTTTAATTTTTAAAAATTTCTTTTAAATAGCCATAGAGCTTTAAAAACATTTTAAGAAATAATGATAACCAGTTTTGAAAGAATATTAGATTATATAGCATATTAGATACTTTATGTCAGTGTTATAATCTAATAAATAAGTAAAGTACAATTAGTTGAAAGGAAGAAACATAAAAATTTTATGTCCTTCACAAGCTTTGTGTTTTGTGACTAAAGCTAATCCTACATTGATACTGATTTATTTTGGACAGAAAGTGATTGGCAATATTGTGATTAACGTGAATAGATGATATGGGCCTTTTATTGTACATTTTATTCTTTTTTTTTCCCACTCCCTGTGCCCCTCCCCACCCCCATCACCCATTTTATTCTTTATTGCAGTTTATGAGGACAAGGAAGGATTTTACTGAAGAAGTAAGAAATCTTTTGCTGGAGGAAATTAGGTGGTCAAATCCTGGATTTTCTTTGAGACAATATTTTCCCTTGCTTCTAAAGAAACAAATTGAGCACCAGGCACTTTCTGAGTGTCATAGTAAACAAGGTTAGTGACAGTTATTATCATTTATGTTAACGTGGCACTTTCACAAACACTGAGACTTAGCCATTGTCTCTTGGAAGTGATCACTACAGATAGAACATTGCTCACAGTTGATAGGCATAATTGTTTAACTGAGGTAATAGCATCTGTACAATGCAATGTTTGTCCCTACTAGCTTCTAAAAAATGCCAACCCAAAGATGACTTTAATTATGTTAAAATATTAATCATCCATTTAAAGAATGCCTTAGGTAATTTTTTTTTTTGAGTTGGCATCTCATTGTCACCCAGGCTGGAATGTAGTGGCACACTCATGGCCACTGCAGCCTTGACCTGCTGGGCTCAGGTGATCCTTCCACCTCAGCCTTCCAAGTAGCTGGAACCACAGGCACGCATCACCACGCCTGACTAATTTTTTGATTTATTGTAGAGATGAGGTCTCGCCAAGTTGCCTAGGCTGGTCTTGAACCACTGGGCTCAGACAATCCTCTTGCCTCCATCCCCCGCAAAGTGCTAGGATTACAGGTGGGAGCCACCGTGCCTGGCCAAATAAAATAATTTATGTAAGATAACTTACATAGCTGTACAAAAAATAGTCTAATTAGCTGGGCTTGGTGGCTCAGCCTGTAATCCCGCGCCTTTGGGAGGCTGAGGTGAGTGGATTGCCTGAACCCGCGGGTTCGAGACCCGCCTG